TAATGGCAATAATAGGCAACTTATTATCGATATCCTGAGACACCACAGAATTACCAATAATGTCAGAAAATTGAATGAGTTTTTCAACATTTTTATCGCAATTTTCTATTTCGGATCTCAGCTTCCGATCGCAGTCTGTCTGTATTTATCCCATAACCAAGAAAACACATTTTACGGCAGATTATATTATATATACTTTTTTGTACTTGGTGTTTATACACTAATTACATTTAATAGAGTTTGTACGACAGTCTGTACAACAGCCCACTGTTCCCAACCACTCGTATATTCATATTCATTAAAGTCTAACATTTCAATCAAATTAAGACTTAAAATTATGTTGTTTATTGAAACTCTTACCGGACCTGAGATTGGGTTTTATTGTTTTAATTTCTTTCCGATGACTTCACAGAATAATTTTCAGTATTTTCTCTCATTTTTCATGAGTTATATTCTTCTCATTTCATTATTAAATCGCTAATTGTTTTGTGTATTTAAGTAACTTTTACTTTTACTTTTAATTTTTTAATTGACTTAATTAAATTGTGTATTATATAAATTATCTAAATACATCGTTTGTATCATTTGTATCTACAGAATTACAAATTAATTATGTATAAATATTTAAATACAAATTAATACTGTATATTATAATTACAAGATAACTTAAATGCTTATAGAAAATATTTATAAATAGCAAAACCAACTTTTAGAGCTCTTTTGAACACATTTGGTGTTATTCTACACACTTTTATACCGGTATTAATATACACTATTAGACACTCATCGATACAATGGTGTTATATCAGAATATAGACACTCTTTGAGTTCATTTGTTAGTTTATATAAAATCATATTTTCATTGTTTTTACACTTTACTGTTAATACCGGTATTTATCATTGTGTTTCTATACACTCTTTAATTCATTGAATGACAGATAATTTGTATAAAATATTTTATTGTTGTTTCTATTAAAATTGTCGTTTTTAATTGCCGATTAACCAAAATTATATTAATTAAAATAAATAACCTGAAATTGAGTAGAACTTGGATGATAAAGCACTTACAAATATAAATTATAATTATATACATGTAATATTAATTTTTAAGTTTATTGAACTAAAAATAATGTTGAAATAAATATTCTGTAATTACAAAACATTTTTTTCTCATTTATTGCTTAACATTTTGTTAATGATTTTTATTTAAGTCAATGAAATTTAAAGTTCTTTAGTTTCGCAGACATGTTATTAATTATAGGAATTAAAAAATTTAAATTAATAGCAATAATACTAGCTTTATTTTTATTAATCTTAATAATGAATACATTTTATAAATTAATAAATTTAAAGCCGTTATATGAAAGAAACCAAAGACTGAAAGCAATGCAAGAATTAATAGAAAAGGAGATCTCTGTCGTCCAAAATCCAATTGATTGCTTTAGTGCCAAAAAATTGGTGTGTGATCTGTATTCAGTGTATTGTGGCTTTGGGTGTCTTTTACATCATTTGGCAGTTTGTATGATTGTGTCCCTCCTTCTCAACCGAACCCTAGTCGTGGAGCCCTTGTATACTCACACGAGTTATTTACCACAAAATGTTTTTCTCTTCAAACATTTCCAACCCCTAAGCGAAACGTGTCTCAACTCTTGTGGAGAAAACAGGACCACTTGGGATAGTTCTCCACTCAATACACACAATGATTATCAAGTGATTGATTATAAATTTATCCAGGGAATCAATGTCTCCCATATGGCTATTTCCTTACCACTCCAGATCTCCAACCATTTGCAAACTTTAAGTAATCAATCGTTTGCTTTATTTATTGGATTTATTTTGAAGTATTTGATGCGTCCGACACCAGAATTGTCGCAATATTTGTCAGAATATAAGCAAAGAATTCAATTCAAGAAACCAATCGTTGGATTACATGTCCGAAGAACTGATAAATTAATTAGTGAAGCAAAGTATCACCCGTTGGATGAGTACATGTCATATGCGAAGAAATTTTACGACAAAATAGATTTAATGAATGCAATCAATTCTGTGAATACAAGTGTTGAAAGAGTGGTGTATTTGGTAACCGATGAGCCAAATGTGTGGATAAATGAAACCAAACCTTATGTCAAAATGGGATATATTTTCAAAGGAATGGTAAGCCATTCAGAAAGTGCTAATATGTTGACCCGTGTCAGCGAGCAATCGGTTCGGGAGTTCATAATCGACTCATTAATCTTAAGTGAATGCGATTATATTGTCTGTACTTTCAGCTCAAATGTTTGTCGACTTGTTTATGAATTAATGCAAATCACAGCAAATATCTCGCACAATATATCAGACATTTTTCATTCACTAGATAGTGATTATTATTTTACTCCGGGACTAGTGTTAGAAAATTCAAACTATTTTCCATCTTTTGATTAGAAATAATGATTACATAACTCATGAAAAGGTCCACCAAATGAAGCATTCCTTTGAAAATTCTCATTAAATTCTGAATTCTTTCATTCATTTCAATACAATTTGTCATTTCTATAGCTTTTCAATTAAAACAAGTGTAAAAATCATGATAAATAACACTACAGTACAGTATTTTCAAAACTAATAATTAGATTCTTACTGATATAAAATTAAATGTTAATGAAACAATGTTTAATTAGTTAAAATACAATTTATTTAAAAATCTGAAAAAATCAATATTTAAATGTCTCATTTTATAAGCTATACATACAGTATTTACTGCATTAAAAATACTATATTATATTAAATACGGATACAAATGTTATTACAGGTAATTAATCATTAGAAATACTTTTATGAAACTTTTAATCAAAAACAATAAATTTAGAAAATTTAAAAAATAACTCTTCAAATGATTGATTGCATGTCTAAAAAGGGTTGAAATTAGACATGGACTCCATGAACGTATTCCTTGCCATATATTTGACGCCATCGGACTGAGTGTTGGCTAAACCGATGCAATCGGAGACGATAATTAACTTCTTTACGCCAGTCTTTCGTCTATTTTTTTCAAACTCATCGATGGAATTGACAACAACTCCGCCACCGATTGTCACCATTTGCTGCAATTCGGCCAAAAGAGTGTCTTTAATGCCATTGAACTGAACCATTAGGTTCTCAAACAGTTTCTGGCGAGTGGTTCGCGACTTATAGGGGACTCGAGTCTCGGTGGCCGAGCGGTCGGCACTGATCTCGTACTTGAGTTCATCCACAAATCGATTGGACCGATAAGAGTCAGTAATCCAGTCGAAGGTTAAGATCCATTTGTGTCCTAAATGTGTTGCAAATATGAGTTAAAATAAACTCATTTTCAATTATGGATAATATGGGAACACATACCTAACAAAGCCTTCAAATATTTGGCATTTCGGGGACAAACCATTTGTTTGGCGCCATCGGTGGTCAACGCAATGACGAGATGTGTGACGCGATCGGACCACTCCTCCACTGCTTCTGCATTCAGTGTCCGACAAACGCTTTGAATCTTCTTTTTCTGTTTGTCGTCCAAACCTGAGTTCAAAATACAATACTTGTGTTCTTTCGAGCGCTCAGACGACGAGCTTCTGGTTCGCGATGAGGTCGACGACGCCATCGATATGTCTGACACATCGGAGGGGGTGGGAGACGCCGGACGCTTAAACACTCCCTTATCTGGCTTTTTGGCCGTTGAATGCTATCAAAGACATTGAGATTTAAAATAAAACTTCAAACACTTAACGACCGGTAATTATAACTCACTTTTGGCATTGATTTTGTGGTTTTCATCTTAAGTTTTTCCAAATCCTCGGAATCCGTAGAAATCAGTTGTCGTCTTCTGCTGTTCCTTTCGTTCACTTCTAAAGGCATCTCTTTATCTGTTTCCGGTTCTTCGTCCATAGCATTAGCTTTGGTTTTAGTGGACTTCTTGGCCACAGCTTTACGTTTTGCCGTTTGCTTCACAACCGCATTGTCTTCAGGTTTGTCCTCAAAAGCAAACACATTATCGTCGGCTAGTTCTTCAGCTGATTCCTCGACAGATCTCATATTTGCTGTTTTCTTGGCATTCATTGTTTGATTGCTTTTCTTAACACTCTTTCGTACATTTGCTTTACTTTTGGGAACCTCTTTGTCGGCCACAGTATTGTCTTCTTCGGCAATGGACTCCTCGACGGTTGCCTTCTGTTTGGACTTCGGTTTAGCCACTCTTTTCCTGCCTTTTGGCTCATTTGGCTCTTTCATGACATTCTCATTAGTCTTTGGGTTTTCATTCAACTCCAAGATCTTTAAAAAATCTTTATTTTCTTCGATCACTTCATTGTCTTTTAAGTCAACCACCGGTTCAGCAGTTTTCAGTTTTTTAGATCTTTTGTTGGACTCAATGGAACCCCTCTTAGAAGTCACTCTTCCTCTCACTTTCTTTTCCTCTTCAATCTCTTCAACGTTTTGCTTCTCAATCGTTGGCTTTTCAATCACTATCACTGAATCCTGACTTTCAGGAGTTTGTTTGGCATTCACTGATGGCTCACTCGCCACAATTGTCTCTCCAGAACTTGGATCAGTTGCTCCTAAATCACAAATTTATTTAATTACAAGAATTACGATTACAATTATAAAAACGTCTTACGATTAACAGTCAATTGATTCTCTTTATTGATGGCATTATCTTTGAATTCAACCATTTGTTTGAGGAATGTTTGCAGTGAATGACAGGGAATGGTATGAATAAACTTATGGAAACAGCAATTATTAGATTCGCAACAGTTGTCACTCGGTTTGTCAGCATTGGTATCATCATTGACAACAACATCCACGGTCTGAATGCTTTGATTGGTTTGTGAGACACAGAATTGGGTTGAAATGGATTTCAGCACTTTTTTAGGTACCGTTTCGTTCAACGTTTGCATCGCTCTGTCCTCCGTTTGTGGACTCATTTGACACGACTTCGACTCAAACACTTTCGGACAAACCTTTTCCGTGGCTTTTGTTTGCAATTTCTTTTGGGAGAGTCTATCCGATTGGTGTCCATCTGATTGGTGTCCTTCCGATGCAAACGTCGACTTCAAAAGCAAATTACAAATAATTTACAAAACAATTCATTCATAAAATGCTTTTCAAAGAGTACATCCAATTCGATGGACAGGCGCTCGTTGTTGGACTCCAGGCCCTCCAGAATAACGGACACCAACTCTGTATTGTCCTCCTCTTTGGTATCGTTGACTCCGGTGTGCGACTGGTCTCCGAAAGAGTCGGGAATTGAATCCATGGACTCCACGTCTGAGTCCAAGTATTCAATAGATTTCTTCAGCAACTTCTTCGGCGACTTCTTCGGCGACTCAATCATCGGCGGACTTCTGGGCCTCTCTTCAGCCGCTTTCGTGCGCTTATTGGCGACGGGCTTGTCGTCAGACACGGAACCGCTCTTCTGCTTGTTTTTAGCGCCGTTTGCGACACAAGACTTCAGACTAAACACAATCACAAGACGTAATCAAAACCACACAAACAGTTGACAATCACAACAAACCTCTCAATAATCAGATCCTTTCGATAACCACTGGAGTGTGCTTTCGGTGGTTCCTCACGAGGTTTGGTCACCACTTGTTTGACCGACTCTTTCGATTGTCTGAAAAGTGATAATTAACTCCAATTAGACATCAAATGGTAAACAAATGGACAAAACCTTTGATCCAAAAGTCGACTCATTCTGAGACCGACTTTGAGCACAGAATTCATATAAAGATCGTCTTTGCAGTCATTGGTGTAGTTAATGGCATAACATTTGGGACACTTGTTCCCGGTCTCCAAGACGTGTTTGAGGACACACTTCGAGCACAGATAGTGTCCGCAAGCCGTCAACGACGANATTTTATTTATGATATTGTGTCACAGAATCAGTGGTAATGATTTTATATGTATTAAAATATGAGACATTAGTAGTGATACGACACCAGAATTTTGATCATTACTCTAATTAATGTTATGGTCAGTCATTTGAGTCCAAATATTTTATGGCCTTAAGAATTGCAGTTATAAAATGATTTGTGACTCAAATCAAAACTATTTATTACACAATTAGATAATTGAATTGCAGTAAACATTTATTAAGTTCTTGCACAAATAAATTTCTTTTTCAAATACTATCCAATACTATACTAAACACTAATTATGAAAAGCTTTATAGAGATTGAGTTCATTAATTTTAATACAATGCTTGTTATCAACTTAGTTTTCAATTCAATCATTTTATTTATGTTTTAGATTTTATTATTGCATTATAGCTATCAAAACAAATTGATTTGTTTAAAAAGTTTTCATATAATTATGAAATTATTATACATATAGTTTGAGATGCTGTTAATTAATAAAAACAAAAAGTTATAAATTTAATTAAAACGTTTCCTAATTTTCCATTTATTCAATATTTGATTTGGACTTATATTCCCCCATCAAATCATGTTTCTATTTGCTCTCTCTCTCTCTCTCTCTCTCTTTATTTCTTTATTCGTCTCTTTCTATAGAGAAGTGATGGGAAAACTTGAAGCGAAACTTGTATTTCCGATTAAAACGGACGCATTTATTGGATTTCTAACAACTGATCCTGAGCTACATCTGAAAGTCTTATTAACCTCTGCACCGGTAGTAGTATTGGAGACGAAAACAGAGGGAAAGTAGGAAAAGGGAGACAACATATGAAAAATAGAGATGAACGCATAAAATATGTGCGTATATATGGCACGGGGGTATCGGCCGGGTATGAACGGCTTAAGCGTGAATGTAGTGGCAATACGTGCTGTGAAAAAACAAAAACACAAATCTTTATAAAAGGCTATGAAGACGAGTCAGCACTACGACTACTGCCTACCAGTGCTGTATCTTTAGTTTAAATCGGATTTGTGTCCAAATTGAGCCAATACTCAGCAATGAAAGATTGATTTTGTCCACTATTTTAGGGCTTATTATAGATCTGAAGCAACGGATCGATCACTAAAACAGTTTATGAACCGAAATGTACTCTTTTTGCACACATTTTATTGTTTTTATTAAATCCTACAAATCCTCTCAATTCAATATTAAACTCATATTTTATGTGTTTTATATTAATTGCATCATTAATTAACAATCAATCAATTTAATTAATCTATTTTATTTTATTATAATTTGTATTAATTTTTAAAAATGTATACAGTACTATACTTTACTTCATTGCCAACTGTTTATATTTGTATTTTTATCAGAATATTTTCAATACAAAATTCATAGCATTATTATAATTCAATATATCAATAATTGTATGCCTTATAGAATTAACTTATTTTCCGAACCATTAATCATTGAGTAATATAATAAAAGATTGATTATAAAATTTAAATTGTGTTATACAATAATTAGTTATATAAATGATATAAAATGTAATTTTTGAGAGCCAAAGCGATTGGTAAGGAATCGGTGGTCTGAGAGTGCCCAGAAAGTAACGATCGTTAGTTATGTGACTACATCCTGAGTTACGTAAGTAGTTAGAAAGTTTTATTTGAGAGTCAAGCAAACTGAGGTTTACAACAGTAAGAAAGTGAAAACTTAAAATAGTGAATTTTTTACTGCCCTTTAATGTCAAACGTTTTTTGCAGTAACTCTAAAAATATTATACTTTTTATATACACAGCCAGTCAATAAAGTCCGGGGATTTAACGCCTAAACTATCAATAGATTACAAATTGAAAATCATTCAAAAATATTCTTTTGAAAACAAATTATATTTAAATCTCAAGTCCGATGTCTATAATATCTAACAGTATATTGAAATGTTATTTTAGTAAATCATATGCTATTTATGACATTCGTGTGTTATTTTTTGGTTTGTTTTAATGTATTACTGAGTGGACATACATTCAAATCTAATGCATAATTGAATGATTGAATAATAAATGAATGGCAAACAGATATATGAAGTCTTATGCCCATCGAGTCCGGGAATACGGGTCTTTCATTGCTAGCAATCAATACACTGATGTAGGACTCAATGCATTCATCAATCTTTCAAAATAAACTCTCAGTTCGTTTGACTCCAAATGTTGTCATTCTTTCACTTTTGAATTTTATCACTATTTTTTACTGCCCTTTAATGTCAAACGTTTTTTGCAGTAACTCTAAAAATATTATACTTTTTATATATACAGCCAGTCAATAAAGTCCGGGGATTTAACGCCTAAACTATCAATAGATTACAAATTGAAAATCATTCAAAAATATTTTTTGGAAAACAAATTATATTTAAATCTTAAGTCCGATGTCTATAATACCTAACAGTATATTGAAATGTTATTTTAGTAAATCATATGCTATTCATGACATTCGTGTGTTATAAAAAACCAAACAAAATTACATAATGACTCACCTGTATGTAAGTTTAGATTACGTATTAACTTACTAACTTATTATTTACTTACCGTTTGTCTATATACTTCAGAATACGGGTAGCTCAGGCCCTTAAAAATATGAATATAGGATTACATATAAACACAACATGTAATCAATCAATCTATGGTTATGTCATTCCTATACATTATATATAAATATAACAAAAATTCTTAATTTATGTGATTCTTTAGGGAATTCGTGTTTACTGTGAAATGTAATTCAGATTTATTACTATTTTATATTAATTATTAAAATCTCTATAAAATTTGAACTAGTTTTTTCTGTTTTCATAAATGTATCCTATATCATTTTGTTTTTATATAAAAATCAAGTTAATAATTCATTTTACTTTTTAAGTATAAATAAGAATTTATTTTAAATGTATGCTTTAAATTATTTTTAAAATATTAAACCCATGTTTAATAAAATTTTTATTTAATTTAGATAAAAACTTCAAGACATGAAAATGTAATTCAATTTGAATACACATTCATATATTGAAATGAATTTCCAAAAATGTTTTCACAAACAAATCGATTGTCACGAAAAAAGTTTTAAATAAAATAATGCATTTGAGTGTAAGCTGTGGTCGGGTTTTGTCCCAAAACGGAAACGTGAGATACGGACGAAGATTGGTTCGGATGAGTGAAAAGGAAATGCGAAGACAGCAAAAGAAAACCCAAAAACTTCACGTTATTATAGCAGACGTTCACATTTCCTACACTCAAATCATTGGCCCATTTGCTCGTATAATACAACGAATTCATGAATTACACAAAACATAGGAATCAGAATACGAGAGAGAGAGAGAGAGAGAGGGAGAGAGAGAGAGGGAGAGAGAGAGAGAGCATAGTTTTGTAATTCAAGAATTACATCAATATATAGACGGTATATATGGGGCTGAATCAGCATTTAATTCATTCAAATACCAAACACTAGTTTAGCTTTTATCGTTGTATTTCCGTAATGTGTATTATTTGTTTGGAAAATAATTTTATTGAATAAATAACTTAATCATTTGTTTCGTTAATTATAATATCAAATAAGTCATCTTATTGCTAATTATTCTAAATATTATATATAAATAATGTGAAATATAATACAAGACATAACTTATATACAGTAGTATGGAGAATTATAATAAAAAGTGAATTTTATAAAGAAAGTGTTTAAATTTAATAAATTGTCTCCAATTTTATACGATTATTATGTAAAACTACTCAACTTTGTCGTAACGATTGATTCTATGACTGAAAATACTTTATTGAGTTATTATCTCACATTTTATTAAATAATAGTTTGAAAATTATTGAACACTTCATTGAATATAAATAGCGTTAAAGCGAGAGAAAGATTGAAAGACACAAAAAAGTAAATTGAATTCAATAATAAAAAACTTCAATTGATATTTATTATTCATTGATTGAAATTATAATAATTGAATTTATTATGAATTCAAACCACATTTCTATACCAAGATTATTCTCAAATTTATATTTTTTCTTTATCCCAAAATTCATTCATCATTAATTCTAAATCTAGTTATACTGTATAATCAATCATCTATTTCTAACGTATAATTTAAATCTAATGTAATTCAAGTTTTATTTTTGTTTTAAGGTTTTGTAGATCTAAGATAATTAATACCGTGTACAGTATACTAATTTCATATTTATG